ATGCGAACACTCGCTTGATTGGTTCACTAATGAATTTCAGGGTACAGTATAGCGCGCTCGGTTCAATGTCTGCAGTCTTTCAGGTGTCTGCAGTCTTTCAGAAGAAAAACGGTTAAAATCAGTTAATTTGTTTAAATACAAGGGTTGGGACTTATTTGCGCAAAAAGCTGTCACAGAGAGAGTCACAGAGAGAGGGCGCGATATATTTGAAGAAGAAAAAAAGGCCGCCTGTATAGAAATAACTGAGCGCAGATTTGTCGATGGCGAAAAAGATTTGTTTTCAGTGATTCCCGAAGCCTATATCGACGGAGCGCATCTGTTCGAACAAATAAGGATATCTCTACATAGGTCCAGGAAGTGTTACCCAGCATTCGACTTTGGCCAAACTTTTCGAAGTCTGTTCCCTTGCCCTTTTTTCATTTGAAAAAGCTGTGAATGTATAAGTTTTTCAGAACGATGTAATCAGACGTCTATATCACAAATAAATTATTTTATAAGGGCAATATTCTAAAATTTTGTTAACGGGTACTTTAGCAGGGCTGATAATTATGCCAGTGTTGTAATCAGCCTAGATAGCATGACCGAAATAGACTTTGGAGTGCTTAATTTTAGTAATAAACTAGGCCGAGAGAAAATTGTGTCTTTGTATAGATTCTCCGCATCGTTATAAATGTATTTCCAGTGTGCGAATTTCGGAAAACAATGATGTCCAGAAACATCAAAGAGTGAGCAGTGAACTTGCGAGTTCATCTGTTCTCAGAGATTCGGTATTTTGTAACCCTTGCGAAACATCTTATATGTATAAGAAATTTATTGGTCAAAGAAACCCACACAATCAAATAATATCAAATACAAACATGGAATAACGTTATAAGACAATATAATGCAATATCCGAATATATGAGAAGTTTTGAGACACATTGTCATTCTATGTTGTTATAGGTTTCTTCAGTGCTCTTACTTGAATTTTTAAGATGACACGTTTTTTAATGGACTAAGAAATATACGTATCAGATAAATCACTCGGATAAGCAAGTTGTAGACCTGCTTTTTCGATTTAAAAGGGTGGATTTGTCTCTGAATTTGTTTATTTTTTGCATCGTTTTCGGCAGTATATAATGCTAACCCTCTCAGTGCATTTCTTTATTCGTGTTGTCTCCAAATTTAGCCAAAATTAGCGATGAACGTATTCAGTCACGCATCAAGGTTTCTTGCAAAATTTCCCGCCATTGGTGCTCCGAACCACATCACGGTTCTGTAAGCGGCTCAGTGCCGCTTTTTGAGTGGTTCTGTGCTACAGAGAAAACATTTGTATCACAAAATTAAGAAAAAAAACTGCATAAAACATCCGTTTAGTCGCGTGCAAGTTGAAACCGATCCAAACCAAATGGCCAACATGCCAAATAGCAGCGTCCCCAGCGGTTCATGTGCACTCTGGGAGCAGGATACTGTGGACAGGTAGTTTCGGTTTGGATTTGACCGGCTTGTGCATATGTCGTCTGCTATCCTCGCCACAGCGCCATTGCTCACGTCGTCATTGATAGCTGCACACTTACGCACGATGCAGAAAGTACGCTTTTATTCTCGTCGCTACAGATTAGGCACTGCGAAAAACTAAACAACAGACCGATCTCAGCAGCCAGTTTGACTACGCCACCGCTGCCGCAATGCATCGAGGGAGCTTCAGTCTTTCTGCACGTGCGACAATCTCGCTGGACCTCTGCGCGTGTAGAGCACGAGACGCCACGAACCCTCTCGCGCACTACCATTTGCCTCTAGCACGGTGCCTCCAGTGAACTAAAGTTATGGCGGCGTCACGCATGCGCCGAACGCTTGGTGGGATCGGTCTATTACAAATTTGCTGGCACGTGGGGCGAGCGAAGACGCCGACCGGGTGAAGGAACGCAGATTGATAAAACCCGAACGCCGTGCCAGCTCAGTGCCTGCATTCAATTGCAACTTCGAAAACCGCGTGTAAACTAGCGCCTCATCACACTTTTTGACGGTTCGCAGAAATCGGTTTCTAAAAGTATCGCGGTGGTATTTACTGCAAAGACGCCCGGAGGTGGGGCATTAATTAATTGATAGCAAAAAAACAGAATCTGCGAAGTAAAAAAAAATAGAAAATAAAAACCGGTTTTGTTTAGAACAAAATTATGGCTAAACCTTTTTTCTCCAAAATAATAAAATCAAAATCCTTATGGGCTATCCTGGCGCTTCCCTTACGAAAATGGCAGATCTGGACTTATATAAAAAAACAAAACAAATATGGATATATAAAAAATTTTGCAGCTCTTTCCATATCAAGCACATCAGTTTATATAAGCCTTATCTAGCCAGATCTGCCCAATTTTTTATATATCCATATCTGGGTCTGCCAAATAGGGGTATATCCGCCTGCCATATCAGGGTGTTTCTTTTATTCTTGTATATTTGTTCTTTAAAAAGTTATGGAAGCTACACTTATGCGGTTTCTGCGAGTGAGTTATACGCCCAGGAGGACATTACATGGGGGGCTAATCTTTGTGATTACCCGTCTAATTAATTAAAATTTACTAATTAACTTTTCAATTAATGAAAATAGACATACGGTTCCAATACGAAGCTTGCTGGGCGTCGTCCAAAATCCCTAAATCAGTCATTTTCAGAAAGTCTCTGGGTGCGTGAGAAGCGCTCTAATGTTACCATTCGTGGAGCAGGTATAAGGCTAGCGGTTTCGGTAGGGCGCCGGGTGTGTTCAGTTAAGATCCAGCACGCGAGTCCGGTTCGCATTTTTGTTTTTCTTCATATTTTTACATGTTACTCCCCAATATGTGGAGGAAACGAAATCACAAATGTTTTCTAAAAAAAAAAAACAAGATTCTCTAAAGAAAAAAAAAACATGACTACCCCTAGACGGCAACGCCGTTTTCGGGCTCTGTCTGTTCTGTCAAGTTTGACTGCATGTAATAGGCAAACTAAAAATACAAAAAAACTGAATATTTTTCGGGAAGCAGGGGATTATAGTTACTACATTCTTGATCGTTTACAGCATTCTTCAAATTATATATCGCGCGTGCGAAATCCACAAATGCGGCTGCTTTAACGCTTTGACCCCATTTTTGTGACTCGTTATATAGTTATATCTTAAGGATATTAAATTGAAACGTTTTTCATATTTCCTTCCTAAGCGTGTCTTTTATCGAGTAATAAATTGCTGCTCTAGTGTATAATGCCAAATATGTACAGCGCTTCAAAAATATTTGAAATTAAAAAGTTCCGCAACTTCAACGTAGAATTAAAAAAAAAGAAAAAAGTGAAAGCCGTTTACAACTCCCTGTAACGCCGAATTAGAGCGCAGCTCTTGAGGGGGAGGAGGGAAGGGTACTGGGAGGGGTGAAGCGACCTGGGGGGGTCACGTGACCTTGGGGGGTCGTGACCTTGAGGGGTCATGTGACGATGCCGATGATGTCATTAGTGACGTCACTGATGACGTCATCAGTGACGATGATGATGCGGACTCCGATGACGTCATCCGTGATGATAACAATGACGATGTGGATGCAGTTGACGTCATCAGTGATGTCACTGGTGACGTCATCAGTGATGATGACGATGACGATGCGGATGCCGGTGAGGTCATCAGTGACGTCACTGATGACGTCATCAGGGATGATGACGACGATGCGGATGCCGGTAACGTCATCTGGGAGGTCACGTGACCTCGGGGGGGGGGGGGGTGTCACGTGACCTCGGGGGGTGTCACGTGACTTCGGGGGGTCACGTGACCTCAGGGGGTCACGTGACCTCGGGGGTATCACGTGACCTCGGGGTGTCACGTGACTTGGCAGTGTCACGTGACTTGGGGGTCACGTGACCCTGGGGAGGGGTCACGTGACCTCTGGGGAAGGGTCACGTGACCTTGGGGTGACCTTGGGGGTCACGTGACCTTGGGGTGACCTTGGGGGTCGTGTGACCTTGGGGTGACCTTGGTTACGCCGACGCCGACGCCAACGGCGACGGCGACGGCGACGGCGACGCCGCTCAAGCCGGGAACGGGCCCCTAAGAGCTGCACTCTAAAACGTCTTCGATCTTTTTAAAATTTGGAGGAATCACTCTCCCCTACACCCTCGTGAAAGTCCGTTAAAAACATGTTGCATCATTTTGTTTCCGTCAAAAGTACAGCGCTTTGAAATGTACCTCCACACGTGGACATGTTTGCCCAAGGTCACGGCCGCAGTGTGGCCGCCTTCAATTTTTTTGTTTAGAAATGCTCATAAGGTCCTATTTTTTTCCTTGTGCACAAGTTCGAATCATACATCTGGACCGCTCTAAATGCATGTATAAAGTACAAGTAGCTCAGGAAAGCGGTTCGAAGCATCGAAGATGCGAACTAACCCCCCATTCACACTGGAAGCGGATCCGCGTTCGCGAAGCGGTTGCGAAAGCGGTTGTATAAAGATCCAGTGCAATTGCACGCGCATTTGATGTCATCGTGTGCGCGTGCAATTGTACTGAATCCTTATACAACCGCGTTCGCAACCGCTTTGCGAACGCGGATCCGCTTCCATTGTGAATGAGCCCTAAGACGAGCCCGCCCTTCGCACTTAATTGTTGCATACGCCACTGCACGGTCGCGCGAACTGAAACACAACCACCCGCACGAGACACTAGTGTCGATAGAAAGAAAGAGCATATGTAACCTGCCACGTATTACGTCCGTGCTCGCCGTGTATAGCGAACACGACCTATTGAGCCCAGACAACGTCGGATGCAACCGGATTCGCCGGGTCACGCGACCGCACGGTCGCGCGAACTTAAACATAAATACCTAGAACGAAACGATATACAACACCTGGGCTCGCGAAATAAGCCTCAGAGCTGAACATAACACCTCGGTGGGATTGAGGATCAGGACATTTGCTACATCTTTAGGTAACTGTTTTAATAAATCGATGGCACGTTGGCTTGTCCACTCGTTTCGGCTGTCTCTTGATGCGTCGTCTGTCATTGTTGTAAAATGAATAAAAATGCATTGACACTCAACATGTTCAAGCAGCGGTTATGAAATAGTGAAACACAGCCTCCGCAACCTTGTGCGCACAAGATTTACTGAGCGCTCAGTAAATCTTGTGCGCACAAGGTTGTGGAGGCTGTGCAGGCGCAGGTGTCTAGATTGTTAGCGGGAGGATACAGAAGAGAGCTTGTGGACGTTGTGGCCTCGAGGGGTTTGCAGCGTTTGGCGGGTACGGCCAGAGTAAAAGGAAAAATGAACAATGTAGTTTGCATGCCCATTTTCGATTCGGTGTCCCATAATTTGAAGGCTCTTGCAAAAAAATTCAACGTAACGGTGGTTTTCAGACCAGACTTTAGACTCAGTAGACTAACCCCATTCACGGGAGGGGTGAACGGGTGCCCAAAAAAACACAGAAATAGAGAAGTCAAGTATCGGGAGGGGGTGGTTTATGGTATACCATTGACATGTGGTTTCACTTACGTTGGCCAAACAGGAAGATGTGTAAACGATCGGTTATTAGAGCACAAAAGGGCAGTAGAATTGATTGTTCAGAATTCAGAAATAGCCAGACATGTTGAGGAGTGCAACGGGTGCAACCTGGAGTGGGTCGGAACAGAAATTATCTACAGTGAAAAAGATGCGACTAAAAGGATATTAAGGGAGACCATTAGAATAGGGAGTATTGGGAACTGTATAAGCGATCCTTCCGTTTCTTTAGACAACCTAACCTGGTCATATATCTGAAACGGAGTTTCCGTCTCCATGACAGGTTAGATCCAGCCGAAAGGTTAAGTAAAAATGATCTGTTTTGGGTCGGGGTTTCCTTTTTTTTTTAAGGCATTGGAAGGAGACATGAATAAAGGGAAGGGGGGAGGGAGGTTTTTGGAAAAGTCGGAGGTAAGTAAGTACAAAAACAAAACGAGCGTGTTGGTAAAAGTAAATAAACATGAGGAAGTACATAGAAGGGGGACGGACGGATAGCGGCACTAACTTTGAGGCTTTGAGATTACATGGCGGCGCATATTTGGCTCAGCGGGCGGGCTTCCACATGTGTTTTCGAGGTTCGTGTTTACGTCTGCAACTGTAAAGGGAGGGGGGGGGGACGGGTAGGGGGTATATCTGAGTGGTGTGCTTGTGCACGATTCGACGGCGGGGGGCAAGGAAGCGTTGCGAGGAAGTGGGAGATTAGCAGTGGTGGCAGTGGCGGGTGACAAGTCAACTGCGTGGACATTCTCGTGGACGCTGTGGCGCCTAGCGTGTGGGCATGTATGTGTGTGCGAGGAGGGCTGCTGACGTGGACTGGACGGGAGGAAGCGGCTTGATCTTCGGGACTGTGGATGTCGGTTGGGGCACCGTGGGGGCTCGCCTTTTTAAACGAGTGTCTGACAAATAAACCTTCAGCTGTGTTTGAGACGTTGTGTTGTGTTCGTCCCCTTCTGTGTTCCTGAGTCTCGGGTTTTATTATTATGAATCATCACCAGCGCGCTTGTTTTTTAAGTATTATCGCGCGATAGAGTTTGTTTTTGGCTATAGTTTTGTTTTTTTCTTTCGCAGCTAGGGTTCGCCATAGTAAAGTATATTTCTTCTCCTCCTTTTTGTGGGTTTAAGGTTGGGAGCTTCTTGGTTATGTGATGTGCCGGTTAATTTTGGATAGTGCGGGGATATATTAAAGGGACCATGAAATGACTTTTTTACTTTTTCCACATAACTGTTACAATAAACCGTCAATGTTCACTGAATGCCGAACAGGCATCCGTTTTCGTCTCGGTTTATTAACTTCTACACAAAAAATTAATGAAATATCGACTTTTTCTTGACCGCAAAACAAGCCGTGACGTACGATGTTTCCGGAACCGGAAGTACTCTCTGCAGTAGGAGATGGGAGCGTTAGCGAGTTGGGGTGCGCCGGTGGGTTTTACTGCGCCGATGTCACCGACGTATTTTCTGAATCGGCGCCTCTCATCGCCGCATCGCAGCTGAACGAAATTCAATGAGATACGTTGCGCTACAGCGACAGCATGGGACTAGTCCCATACGCCGGTATGCCTGTTGGGAAGTGCAGATGGGAACAATTTGCCGCGGCGTTTTTCGCGGTCTCGGAGATGCAGGAGCGAGCCGACGTTAAAAAAGATACGTTTCAACTGTCAGCAAGAGCCACGTAAATACCTGTTCACACTCGGAGCGGACGCGCGCGTTTGATGAAGTGCTGTATTCGCGCTGTTGGTAAGCGCTTCGGGACCGATCTTTTACAATTGCAACTCGATACTGACGCGACACTCGGCAAAGAAAGGTTGGACCGGTATTGCACGAACTGTTACAGCTCGACAGTGACGTGCAGTCTGTCAGAATAAAAATGGCATACCAATAACAAAGTGTACATACCGTGCTACGAAGGTAATCCATAAAGCGTTTATTTCAGCTCTATATCACAGAAAACACGGAGAGGATCGACGAGGGTCCCTTTTCGACGAGTGTTCGTCAACACTGCCTCGGAAAACAAGGGGAAGAGACTGACCTCACCTCTTAACCTAAAATTGAGGTCAGCGATCAAACTATAATACGGAAGGGTCCACAAGGGTAGCGCGGGCATATTCCATTCAGTACGCCAGCCGGTCGTAGGCAGACGGTCTTGCGACGAAGGAACGCTGCGCCGAGTCGGAGTGCCTGCTAGGCCTATATTCTGAGAGTTTCGTCGGAGCGGGATTCGCGGCTGTTGTCGCTCTTCTCGGGTGTTTGTGGATCCAGCGTTCTTGTTCGTCGTGGTTTGTTTTAAGTACATTTCTTTCTTGCTCCTTGAAGTCGGCACGCGCGAGATGAACACGTAGAAAAATAAACGTTCAGTCAGTCAGAGTTTTGAGAGGAAGGAAACCAAAGGAAATAACCGAAATAACCATTCTGAACTTGGCCCTGCCCTACTGCGCACGCGCAGTAGTTGCTTCGTTTACCACACGATAGATGGCGCTTGGCTCTCAACATTATCAAATTTGGCAATTTTCGCCACACATCTCTAATTATGCTACAAAATGTGGATCTGAATATTATTTAACAAAACTTTTAGGAAACATTCGCCGGCTATTTATTGTTTACGATCGCGGTGCTGGTGAGGTAGGCTCTTACCCAATAGGCGATGTGAATTCGGCTGACGTGCACCGATTCTGCGTATGCATCGTAGTGAAAAGGCAGAGCTTTCGAAGGAAAGAAGTCGCAAAAGAGTCCAGTTTTCTTTTAAAAGTTCTATAGCAAATAATTTTTTTTGGCTCCCTAGTCTTGTGTTTTTGTGTTCCTTTTCACACCTTTTACGACGTGCGGTGGATGAAATTCGATTTTAAAATCATTTTATGGTCCCTTTAATATAAATGTTTAGGTTACAATCGGTTGGTGTTACGAAAAGCGTCTTTTATGGCCTGCGATCGCGCCCAGTCTGTTGCTTCCAGGCGTCCCATGGATCGCCGCCCGGCTGTTCCCTCCCGGCGTCTCCGGTTGCATCCGCCGTTGTTTTGGCTCAATACGCACGTAATACACGGCAGGTTATATATGTACTTTCTTTCTATCGACCCTAGAGTCTCGTTTGGTGGTTGTGTTTCAGTTCGCGCGACCGTGCAGCGGCATATGCAACAATTATGCACGAGGGGCGGGCTCGTCTTAGTTCGTATCTTCGATCTTCGAACTGCTGTCCTGAGCTACGTGCACTCTATACATGCATTTAGAGCGGTCCGCATGTAGAATTCGAACTTGTGGACAAGTAAAAAACAGGACATTATAAGAAGTTATAAACCAAAAAAAAAAATGGAAGGCGGCCACACTGCGGCCGTGACCATGTGCGAACATGTCCACGTGGGGAGGTACATTTCAAAGCGCTGTACGTTTGACGGAATCACAATTATGCAACATGTTTTTAACGGACTTTTACGAGGGTGTAGAGGAGAGTGATTCCTACAAATTTTAAAAAGATCGAAGATGTTTTTTTTTTCTTTTTTTTTAATTGCATTTTGCAGTTGCGAAACTTTTCAATTTCGAATATGTTTGAAGCGCTGTATATATTTTGCATTATACACTAGAGCAGCAATTTCTTTTTCGATGAGAGACACGTTTAGGAAGAACATATGAAAAAAGTTTCAGTTTAATATCCTTAACATATAACGATATAGCGAGTCACAAAATGGGTTCAAAACGTTAAAACGCGTGCCTAATTCACATTTGTGAATTTGGCACGCACGATATATAATTTTTAGAACACTGTAAACCTTCAGGAATGTAGTAACTATAATCCCTGCTTCCTGAAAAATATTCAGTTTTTTGGTATTTTTAGTTTGCCTATTACATGCAGTCAAACTTGACAGAACAGACAAAACCCGAAAACGGCGTTGCCGTCTTGGGAAAGTCATGTTTTTTTTTCTTTTAGAGATCCTTGTTATTTTTAGAAAACATTTGTGATTTCGTTCCCTCCACATATTGGGGAGTAAGGTATAAAAATATGAAGAAAAACAAAAATCTGAACCGGACTCGCGTGTTCGATCTTATCTGAACACACATCTCTTATCTACAGCCTTGTGCCTGGTCCACGAGTGGTACCTTCAGCGCACTACTGCGCTTCACACGCGCTCAAAGTCTTTCTTAAAATTACTGGTTTAAGGGTTTTGGATGACGCTCAGCAAGTTTCTATTTGAAACGATATGTCTATTTTCACTAATTAAAAGTTAATTAATGATTTTTAATTATTAGCCGACTTATCACAAAAATTAGCAAACTACATAACGCTCCCTGGGCGTATGCCTCACTCGCACCAACCGCATAACTGTAGCTTTCACGGCTTCTTTTAAAACAAATCTGCAAGAATAAGGAAAAAAAAAAAAAAAACCCGGTATCCACCATGCTGGTGGTTGACTCTTCAACCCTTCACAGCGAGAGCAATGGTAAACTGTGCCGCGCTCGGCTGTAACAATTACCCGGTATCCCGACGATCGTTTCGTCGGCATGAACCGCGAGACAGAGTGAAAGAGTGTCCGTCAAGTTAGAGAAAGTACGAGCGGGAGGAGAGGGATACGTCCGTGGATGACCGAGTTTGCGGCACGCATCTCGTAGCAGCGAGCAACTGCACTTTTCTACCGTTGTTTACGTTCTCGTTCGCCTTCGCATCGGCTTTTGCCCATTCGTGGAGTAGATGCCCTGTGCCCATCGTTACATAACGCCGTTTCCCCGCTTTGAGCGCACCTTCGGGGCTCCTGGCCTAGTACGGGCGTTTGTCGCGCCGCGAGCCCGGCCAGACGGCAATCGGTCGGCGGCGGCCCCATGTGCAAGCTCGCTGAGACGCCGCCGTCAGGGGATCGGTTTGTGCCGTTCGCGAGACGGTAATCCTTGTAAGGAGCGAAAGTATGTAGGCAAGCTGGTTAGGAAACATCATAATATAAAGCCTGAGTCAATGAGAGTTGTCCGTTATTTAATTTATCCTCATCTCAGGGTCTAGATTATGACGGTAACCTATCGTTGTTTTCCAGTATTTCGCAAAATCGTAACAATCTTTCTACAAGCGACTCGTAAAGCCGCTCGTCAAATTTTAGAATGCGTAATTAAGAGTCATTGTCGTTGTTGTTCTTTGGCGACACGTCAAAACTTTGTCGGCGGCATATCGAATCTTTCTGCTTGTAGCGCAATCGCACCGATGCCGAAACATTCTGCACAATTATTCTCCCGGCTGCCAGGAGATAGACACGGCCTAATCCTAGAGTT